CCTCCAAATGTCTTTCTCTCTCTCTCTGTCTTTCTTCCTTTCTTTCTGCGTTTGCATTACTTAGGTGATGTTATTTTTTGTTTGCTTTTTAGATAAGTCTCAAAAAGTAATAGAACATTGTATCCCAAAATTTTAAAAAATCATTCCACGAAAAACCTCTATTGTAGTTTATAAAAAGAATATAGGCAAATTTTGAAGACACAGCAGAGAATTCATTTGTTTTTTCCCAGCTGCCTTAAGTGACCCACCAAGAAAGCCCTGGGCTCTAGCTCTTAATTACCCCAGAGAGTCTCCTCTCTATGGGTAACAGTTTCAGTAACAACTTTCCCTCAAGCTACTAGCACAACCTACTGACATGAGAGTCCCAGGAGTGTTCAGTTTTGTCTTATAAAATGTCCTGTTTTGTCACAACCACATTTAATTAACTTTTATTTACTGTCTCAAAGGATCTTTGTTACAAAGACCGGCACTGGCACGAAGGATGCTTCAAGTGCACCAAATGCAATCACTCTTTGGTGGAAAAGCCTTTTGCTGCCAAGGATGAGCGCCTGCTGTGCACGGAGTGCTATTCTAACGAATGCTCCTCCAAGTGCTTCCACTGCAAGAGGACCATCATGCCTGGTAGGATCTCAAGGGGGCTCCTGTCTCTAACTGAAGCTGCCATGCTTTTCATTAAGTCCCAGCACATGAGGAGTGCTGCAGCTCCCAAAACCCTGGTTTTGAGAAAGACATCTTTCTTACTCTCTCAATCTCCTTCCGTGTACCTTAGAAATAAAAAGATTGTTCATTCATTATCCTTGAATAGGTAAATTACAGTGTTCTGTGTATTTTCATAAAGTCTAATTCATTGAAACATTTCAAACCAGAACCTCACCCATAAAATAAAGAAAAATTTATAGCAATAATACTACATTAAACGCAGTGCCCTAGGCATAATGAATGGCATCAGAAAGAGTGATTCATCATTGGCGACTGGGGCCAACTGTCATTTCGTAGCTTGACACAAACTGTTTTGGGGATCAGTCATTGTTATTCTCTCTTAGGGAAGACAGGGTTCATGTATATCATTCCACTTTTGGCAAGGACTGATTCTTTATATTTTGATCTTCTTCTCAATCTCTATGGACAGCAGCATAAGAACATAATTCAATCTTACTGTCTCACTCGTGCTCTCTCATTTTCTTATTATGGATTCAGAGAATTTCTAGAAGGCCATAACTGCACAGCGTAGTCTCAGTAGTTGTGCTCAGGGCATTTTTAATACCCCTGTAATGATTTTGATGGCCCAATTTATCCAAACCATGTAAAACGATTAGGAGTCTTCATTCGAAGTACTTTTACATCTCCAGATTAGAGGTTATGAAGGGCTTGAAAGACTTTTCAGTGTAAGAGTGATTGTCCATCACCATGGCTGAACTTTACCAACCTTTTCTTTTTTTTTTTCCTCAGATGAATGGGTTTTTTTGAACCTGAAAAAATGCTATTTTTCTAAAAGGACAATTCATTTATCATCTTAACTTAAAACGTCGTAAAGTAATTTGATCTGTGTTATGCTTGACTTATACTAACAGGTCCTTAATTTTGGAGTACAGGTTCCCGCAAAATGGAATTTAAAGGAAACTACTGGCATGAAACCTGTTTTGTGTGTGAGAATTGCCGACAACCTATAGGGACAAAGCCTTTGATCTCCAAAGAGAGTGGCAATTTTTGTGTGCCGTGTTTTGAGAAGGAGTTTGCTCACTACTGCAACTTTTGTAAGAAGGTAATTTTCTAAAGAGGGTGAAGCCTAGGGAAACTCAAACCATTTCTTTTTAGCTGTATCGTATATTTGGAATGAACTGATATTGTTACGCTATATCTGCAATCACACACCCATAGTAGTTTGGACTTTCAACATGTCCAAACCACTAATTGTCACGATGACGATAACCATCTTTTTTTTGTTAACCATAAAATTCCAGCCACAGCAAGAATTTAATATTCCAAACAGCTCAAGTGATTTGGTATTCCAGTTTATTGCACTGTTTTTTTTTTTTTATTGTTGTTGTTTTGTTTTTTTTCTTCCTGAGATGGATTCTCACTCTGTCGCCCATGCTGGAGTGCAGTGGTACAATCTCAGTTCACTACAACCGCTGCCTCCCGGGTTCAAGAGATTCTCGTGCCTCAGTCTTCTGAGTAGCTGGGATTACAGGTGCTTGCCACTGCATGCAGCTAACTTTTGTATTTTTAGTGGACACAGGGTTTCACCATGTTGGTCAGGCTGGTCTCAAACTCCTGACCTCAGGTGATCCACCTGCCTCAGCCTTTCAAAGTGCTGGGATTACAGGCATGAGCCACCACACCTGGCCCATTCACTGCTTTTATACAAGATCTCACGTATTCTGAGAGAAAAGCACAGGTCTCTCTTTGAATACAGATATTTCTTAAAAAATAATTTTTGATCCATTCAGTATTAACTGTTTCAGAGAAATATGGATTTGCCTCACAAAGTGACTAAGGGAACCAAGTTAAACAGGGCGTTTAACTCTTCACATTCTTTCTCAGCAATGCAAATGTCTTCTTGACTTGAAGCTTTTGTATTTCCTAAGAGTAGAGCAATCAGCTCAAGAGAGTGCCAAGATCATGGGGGACGTTCAGCAGACAAAAGACAGAAAGAAGACTAAGGGCAGCAAGTTCCTTCACTCCAGCTCCAGGATCATGTACAGCCTTCTGACTTGGCTTCCCACTCTAAAAACATTTTCTAAGAGAAAAAAAAAAGTGATTTTTTTGAAGTAAACTTCATCCAATTCTTTTTTTATCCTCTAAGCTTTTATGTGAAAAAGTAGCTCTAACACCTTCATGAAGCCTGTCTGCATTCCATATAATATATATGGGATGTTCTCAAAGAAATCCTTGATCTCTGAGGCATCATAAGTTTAAAATGACACCATAAATTGTCATAAGAAAGCTGAATCATGAAAATACATTGGATTAGTATAGTGGTTTCAAAGTACTTTTTATCTATGGGCCACTTTGGGAGAACTCTTAAGCCCGTTTGTATATCTGGACAGCTGGAAGTCACACTACCACTTTCTACACACGCATATGTGAACACACATACACATACACACACATGCAGTGATTGTTTAACATGCATAACCAATACCAGTACTTCATTTAAAGAGGCAGCAATATACTATACTAAGTTATAATTATTAAATTATACAATGCTGATGGCTGAGAATTGTAATTGATGACATGATATAAAATAATCTCATGACTGAGACCTTCATTACTCTACCAAAACACTAGCTTAGAAAATGACTTTACAAGCAGCAATCAAGCCATATGACCACGTGACATATGAATTCCAAAGAATTACCAATGACAGCATTTAAAAACATGCTGGAGGTTGGGCATGGTGGCTCATGTCTGTAATCCCAACACTTTGGAAAGCCAAGGTCAGAAGATTGCCTGAGGTCAGGAGTTCAAGACCAGCCTGGGCAACATAGTGAGACCCTGTCTCTATTTAAAAAAAAAAAAAAGTTTAAACATTAGCCAAGTATGGTGACATGTGCCTGTAGTCCCAGCTACTTGGGAGGCTGAGGCAGGAGGATCACTTGAGTCCAGAAATTCAAGGCTGCAGTGAGCTATGATTGAGCCACTGTACTCCAGCCTGGGTGACAATGAGATCCTATCTCTAAAAAATATACAAAACTTAAAAATTAAAGAAATTAAAATCATGCTGGAAATAAAATGAATAGATTCATCTCACTGTTTTGAGAGACAACTGAGTTAGCCAATTTTAGACTTCATTCCTTAAAGACTTAGACTAAAACAGTAATGAAATTTGTGAGAATTATCTTAAAATCATTTATTGGATACAATATAAAGTCTCTTTCAATGCTATAACAATTCAAGAGTGAAGCTTCTTTAGTACATCCATGCTGAGCACTGTCTAGGCCAAGTGCTGATGTTTCCCAGGTTATTGGAGCCTGTAACTATATTTAGGATATGATTTGAAGTCACCAAACATTTACAAAATATTTATATTGGGTAGTAGACAGATTATGACATACCGGATTATTTTTTATTTAGTTTTTAAAACCACAAGTCCTTTTCTAAAAAGCTGGATATGTTTTTGATCAAGATGATCCAATCTAAACAATTTTTTTCAACCCAAACCAAAACCCAAATATTTTCTTAAAACAAAGAAAAAACGACCTGACAATCAGGCTCTTAGAACTTTTAAGCTCTAAAATCCATAGATTTTATTTTGTTACACTAAGATTTATTTTCCTCCAGAAAGCAAATGATTTTAAACTACAAGCCCTTCAAATTCGAACTCCTCAAGTTTCAAAAGGAGTTAAACGTCTTCTTCAATTCTTCATCTGTCACCTACTGAGTGCAAAATCATTATTGCCTCCACTTTTTCAGAGGAGAAACTTGTTCTAAATCCTGGGATCAATCAGTGGTGAAAACCAAACTTAGATATTAGACTTCATCTTAACCTTCCTACCTCTTCAAAAGGAATGTAATCACAAGCAAACTATTTCTAATGTTTCAGAGTTTCTTGTCTCTAATTAAACAGTCTTTAGTAGTTTTATTTTGCTGTGAATACATTTTTCAAGTTTCAGATCTTTTAAGCATTGCCTGCTAATCATTAGACCAAACAAATCAAAGGAATCATGAATTCTGCTGTGTCTGCTGTAGGGCATTGGAAGTCAGTAGGGGGTATTTTAAATTGCTTTACTTCCATCACACCATTATGCTTCCCATTTACTTATTCAGAATAGTATGCTTTTTTCCTCTAGGAAAATATCTTTCATATCAAATATCTTTAATTTCTAAGATATTTGTTATACGATTAAAAATATTTTTAGAATAATTTTTTCACAAGTCTATGTCACAGACAAATAACATTTTCGAGTTTGTAAACAAGGAGGTGGCTTAAAATAGGCTCTATGTTTTACTATCTAGTTAATTTGATTCAAAGGTTGTGGGAACCACCTCAGATATCCCATTGCTTCAGTCATTACAAAAATTTACAAAAACACATTCCAATATCTGCAGCAACTCTAAGAGCTCATTAGCTGTAAATTCAAAAGGTGATATGGCTTAAAAATAGTTACGCGAGAAAAATTGCCCAATATTTATCCATCTGATTCTAAATAAAGATTTCTCAGCCTTTTAAAAAGTAGAATTCATGGATTAAATTCATTTAGGAAAAAAAATTATCTCATGCAGAACTAATTACATCTCTGGCAAAACACTTCACATAACACCTTAAGGCTCAATGTACAACCAGGGCTCACTCCATTGAGTTCTGATTCCCACAACGCCCCATTGCTAGATACAATATTGGAATCGCTTTCCAACTATTTTTTTCTTTGGTATTTATTCATTCATTCAGCAAGGATTTTCAACTGCTTATCTGTGCAAGGTAACCTTGACTCAGTATGGTATTAATGGTGATGCACACAGGCTGTGGAGTCAGACCATGCAGGTTTGAATCCTAGCTCACTGTGGCGATGGCAAGTAACTTAATGACTGTAACCCTCAGCAGTTGCTCATAGGAAAAGAGGGAAAGATAATAGTCTCTACTATGTAGAGGTGTTGAGAATATTCAGAAGAGGTCATCCTTAGCACGATGCTAAGGACTGAAAGAACACTTAAGAAATGGTAGTCGTTATCAACAAATAATGGTGCTTACCAATTCCCTTCAGAGTTACTGCTGTTGGATATTCTTGTACCTGGTGTAAAAAGTTCAGGAAAAAGAAAAATTCTTTTAAGCATCCCTAAAGTTAGACAGGTAGTTATAAGAACATAGTATAGAAAATAGCTCTAACAGCAGATCTTTAAAAACCAAAATTAAGAAAATTCAGAGAAGTATGAGGAAGTGAATAAAGAACATGTGTGGTTTTCTCCCCCATCTTCCTGAGTCCAATATGGCCCTGCCTCTGTTCTATTTCATTGTAGGAGAAAAATATACAATAATTTTTATTTCTTTCTACTTCCAATTAATTCCTATAACCTTTGGTTTCTCATGTAATTAATTTTTTAATGACTTTTTGAGGAAAAGAACATCCTAAGATGAAAATAGAGTAGCCGAAAGCACCAGTTGTGGACATAGAAGGCATGAAATGATCTTTTTTTTTTTCTTTTTGCTTCCTTTAATCCCCAGAGATACTAGGATCTCAAGAGAATCATGAAATGATCTGAATTGTAATGGCTCCCATGGTCATTGCCTTTTCTGTGGTCTTTGGCAGGTGATAACTTCAGGTGGGATAACATTTTGTGACCAGCTATGGCATAAAGAGTGTTTTCTGTGTAGTGGCTGTAGGAAAGATCTCTGTGAAGAGCAGTTTATGTCCAGAGACGACTATCCATTCTGCGTGGACTGCTACAATCATCTATATGCCAACAAGTGTGTAGCCTGTTCCAAACCCATTAGTGGTGAGTTCTTCAGTTCAATATGATCTTGCCATGAGATAGTTATGACTATATGAAACGCTGTCTAGTTAATTTAGGAAATACGATTAAAGGATGGGAAGCTTTCATTTATGTTTCCTTTTGAGATAAACACAAGTGGGTGCAAATATATGAGCATAAATATTACATGGATTATTCAAGGAAAGTATAATTTGGGTGTCTATACTCAGTAAAGGTAACTACCTACTAAACCTAATGGTACTGACTCTAAGTAAAAGACCTTCACAAGGAGGTCTGCTTGCAGCCTCATTAAGATTTGAGTGGGAGGAAAGAGTACTCATAAATCAGAATCCTGCTTAATTCCAAAATAGGACCAAGCATCCTTTAGTTAGGAAGGTTTTAATTAAATTCCACTATTGTATAGAACATCTGAAGCTGTAATAATTAGGGCAACATAGGTCAGTAATTAATTAAACTTCATTTTAAGATGCTTCTAACAAATGTATTACTCTCTTTTCTCTATTCACGTGCAATTATGAAGTGCATTTATGAGTAGATGAAAGAAAACAAGATAGCATTTTACTGAAAAAAAAATTTCCCTCTTAATGATAAATCGATCCATGTTAAAGAGGTTTTCAAGGTAAAAAAAAAATACATCTTTTCCTCAGAGACACCTTTAAAATGCTAATCCTATAATAAAGGAACTGAAACTAGCATGACACTTGAGAAATCCAGCAGGTATTCTTTCTGGCAATTTATAGTCACCTAATAATGTGTCAGAACTGTATATCTACTTTCTATTCCTAGTATTCTTAGATCATATTTCAATTTTTAATTCAGTTTACATACCATAGAATTAAAGATTATTTTATCCCTTTCCTCCTTCTTCATCTTCAAATATGTAACAAAATAAAAGTTGAGTCTTCATGCACTTTCCAACCGAAAGAAAAAGTTTCACAGCAAGCCCCACCTTGGCAGGCTTTCACTGACTTGCAAGGGAAGGGAGGGCGTCACCAGAAAAACCGGCATGGTCTTATTTCTCTAGATGGAGCACCATGTGTGTCAGGATCTCACACTGGCCCACAGGCTACATCTGGCCAGCAGGTAGGTGATGTTTGGCCTGAACATGTTTGGAAATGCAAAATCCATCTCTGCAGCTAAAAGTAGAGGAAGAACCTACCATTGGGTGAGCAAGCTGTCTCCACATTAACCAGCAGGGTCATCATCATATGGAACTAGTGGCTGTTCAATTGCATTGGGCATGCCCTCTCTGTTCCTTGCACCCTGTCTGCATCACTCAGCTAGATCACCTTCCTGGCCCTTACAAGAACTTGCCTTAGCAGTCTCACACCACTGGGCTCCAGGGTCCATGCTTTTAACCACCCTGCTCTCTTGCCTTCTACAAATTTGGCAATTCCTATAGCCAAGAGAACAAGCCACTATCTCCACTGATTTTAGTTAGAAAATGGGACTTTCAGATACCCAACAGTACCTGGAGCTCCAGAATCTCCCTAGTAAAATCTGCAATCACAGTCCATTTATTTTATAACAATACTTTTCTTGAATCGGGACAGAAAAAAAGGGAACTTCAATGAGAAAATAAGGAAATTAACAACTCAAAATAGGTTTCAAAATTCTCTGGGCATCCAGATGGCTAATACTGATCTGCAAAAAGCCTACACAAGCCCTGAACTTGAGTTTCAATTCTGATATATCACAGATTCATGTGCCTAAGTGATTTTTCTCATAGATTGTTCCAGACCACTGAGCCCAGGCTTTTAAAGTTGAGATGGAAAAACAACGTCGTTCTGCACAAAAATATGAGGATGATCAAGAGCAAACAATCTGACCCAAAAGTAATCTAAATGCAATATTATATATTTTATTCAGACTCTTCAGTCCACAGGAAATGTCTAATAACTATTTTAATCTCTTTTCTAAACTTTTTGATCGAGACACCAGAGACTGAAATGCCTGCAAAAACTTACAACTCACTTTAATATTTCTTGATCTAATTGTTAAATATCTATAGACCCTGTAGTACTGCTTCTTTAAAATTGAGCTATTTGAACTGATGTACCATTGGAAATCTGATACTGTCACATGTCTTCAGAAAATTGGCATTCATCTGATTATTATATCACTTTAAGAAGCTAGGTATTCTTGGTCAAAGGATACAAAATTTCAGTTAAACAGGGGAAATAATTTCAAGAGATCTATTGTACAACATAGGGACTACAGTTAACAACTATGTATTATATACTTGAAAATTGCTAAGAGAATAGATTTTAAATGTGCTCACCACACGCAAAAAAAGTATATAAGGTAATAGATATGTTAATTGCCTTGATTTAGCCATTCCACAATGTATACATATACAAAAGCAACACATTATATATGTACAATTTGTATTTGTCAATTAAGATTAATTAATCCATTAATTTTTTTAAAAAGCTCTGAGAAATCTACCTATAAATCACCAAGTATAATTTTTAAAACCCAGCACATTGAACTGCTTCATTTGAACAAACTCCAGGTATAGCTACCATATTTTCTCCTCCTTTAAGATAGGATTAACCCCTTAAATTATCAGGGATAAATGAAGCAGCTTCGTGCAGTGAAAAGTGCTCTGGACTGAGGAGCAAAAGACTTGGTCCTCCTGCCCCCACTGCTGTGTCACCATGGGTGACTAACTCACTTCCAGGGTGGGGGGCCTTCATTTGCCTTATTTATAAAACAAGCAATTGAGCAGCTTTGCTTTCTTCCATCTCTGTTTATTTCAAGGAAAAGGAATTTCAAATGTTGTGGTTTCTTCAGAGAGCGATGCTAATGTTCTTGACCATGTTCTTTACCAAAGAGAAACTCAAACTTAGTTTCATGAGGTTAAAAGCAGAGACTCTAAAGACAACTGGCCTGTGCTTAAATAGTAGGTCTGCTGCTTACTAGCTGGGTGACCTGGGGCAAGTGGTTAAACTTCTCATTTTTCAGTTTTTGTCTGCAAAGTGGAACTGATGCTAATATCTATCCCCATGAAGGTAAGGTGAGGGCTGTATAAGGTAACACACATAAAGACTTAGAATAGTGATTGGCACACATTCAAGCATTCAACAAATGCCAGCTCTTATTCTACTGACTTGTCAGAAACCTATGAAACCAGACAAAACAGGTGCCAGAGACCCGCTTCAGGGATGACTTTCTTACTGCAAATAACCCTCATGACTTAAGGGAGTAAACATATCCTTTTTGGAACAGTTTGCAAACGTCTCACATGTTGGTTCAGCCCTTTCTTAAAGTTGTCAGATGCTTCTAGTTTTTCTTCTTCATAAAATCTGGAAGAATTGCTTTTATATTTGCCACTTGTACAAGGCTTACTAATAAAATTAAGAAAAACTCATGAGTATCAAAATGCTAGACATGTAATAGTTTTATGAATAGCATAATTTATGTATATACAGAACATTACTCTTGCAGTCAGCTTATTAACGTTTTGAATAACATTAAGGGAATTAAGTAGTACATAATTAATTTACATTTATTAGGAAGTAATGTTGATAGCATCATAGATAAGCGAGCTATAAATTTAATCAAGGAAAGCAGAGGAATTTGATGTAAATTTCTCTATGAACTACTAAATTATATATGAAGACATCAAATAAGTTTGTTACGATGGAAACAGAAGTTCACTATCCTATTTAAGAAGAATGTATCTGAAATAGAATGCTATTCACCCTTTCACATCACCATTCCAAATGGAGTATTTGGAAATTACATATGAATTATATAACTCTTTTAGCCTCACTCCATGGATGATGAGCAAATAATAGCACTAAGATTACTGGGAGAAAACACGAAATAAATAAAGACCCAAGCCTAGGGCATCTCAACCTCTTCCCAAACCCTAAACATTTTCTCCCTTTATGGAACTTCTCAAAATCAGTTTCTTGAACTATACCCTGGAATCACATTAGGGAGAGAGAGATCAGACCCTCACTGACGATTCAAATTCTACTACTTTTAAAAGAAACTGTGTGGCTCAAGGGAGGCCCAGGTTAAAGTGGAGGAGGCTGACAAAGCCCTTAGAAACCAATCACTGGATAACGTGGCTTCATTGGTCAGATTCAACAAAAGCTGAAGTTGTCTCTGAGCGAGGTAATAAGGCCACCACGTTAGGATAGCTGAATGATTAGACAAAATTCTCTATTTTGGGCTTTCTAGAAATAGTGTCCCAAACCATATGACTCCAGAATGTATTCTTTTTTTTTTTTTTTTTGAGACGGAGTCTCGCTCTGTCACCCAGGCTGGAGTGCAGTGGCCGGATCTCAGCTCACTGCAAGCTCCGCCTCCCGGGTTCACGCCATTCTCCTGCCTCAGCCTCCGGAGTAGCTGGGACTACAGGCGCCCGCCACCTCGCCCGGCTAAGTTTTTGTATTTTTAGTAGAGACGGGGTTTCACTGTGTTAGCCAGGATCTAAGTACAACTAAGCACAGAAAAATGAGGGGAAAGAAAACTAAAAGTCGTTACAACATCGGACGTCAGCCTAGAAAGTGCACATTTATTTCATTTTGTCTTAATTTTGCAGCTAAGAAAACTTAAAGTCATATAGAGAAAAAGAGGAAATGTATTCATACTTAGATATCTCTGGCTTTACAACCTATACCTTCTTTCCACTACGCTACACTGTATTTTCTTATCCGGCTTAGACAATCCTTATCTGTTTCCAAAAATACGTGACTTGCATATCAGCATTCTGCCTTCTTCTGTAGATTATGGCAGAATTTGGCTGCGAATCTGGTTGGGTGGCATAGGTGGAACTTTCCTACAGCGGATAGGTCCAGATGGACACAGGCCCAGGAAGCAGCATTCTTTTTTGGGTTACTTGCCTCTATGTTGTCTTGCTCACGGCTGTATCTCCATTTCCTAGAGGAGTATATGATAGAATGCTCAATCTGTTCCTTGAAAGGATAGATTAATCTTTTTCTCCAATTCCTTTACAGGTCTCACAGGTGCCAAGTTTATCTGCTTTCAAGACAGCCAGTGGCATAGCGAATGCTTTAACTGCGGGAAGTGTTCTGTCTCCTTGGTGGGTAAAGGCTTCCTGACCCAGAACAAGGAAATCTTCTGCCAAAAATGTGGCTCCGGGATGGACAGTGACATCTAGGAGACAGTCCTTTCCCACCTAAAATCCACTTTGCCTTTGTTGTCACTAAAGCCAGAATTCAGTTGCAGTCTTATTTTTGACTTAAGTTTTAGAAAATATTAATGTAGTTTAGAATGGAAAAGTTTTTGCACACAGTTTGATCGAACTGTATTCTAAGGGCACACAAAGCACAGTAGAACAGAAATGAATATATGCTAAATCACAAAGACAACTCTCCTTGCAAAATACTGCACTCTGCTGTTAGAAACATAGGAAAATATCTCTTCATAATCAAATATATGACATATACCTAGGAGCTGTGGATGTAATTACTGAAGAATGAGGTTTTTCACACCTGAAGAGTAAAAGAAAAACTAAGAGCTCAAACTGAGAGGTATGCATGAGACTAGTGTTTGCATTCCTGGTTATATGTAATGTGATAAATTAGCTATGAATGGTAAAAGAACAAAAGTGATCAGAGTAAATTCATCAGCAATTATCACATTTAAGAATTGTTATGATTCAAAAATCATTCTTTTTTTGTTCACACATACTGACTTTAGAATTAAAAAACAAAGCTACAATTTGTCCTCATACACAGTTTCCACAGCTTGCTAGCTCCGTGTTTACTCAATGAAATATGAGAATTGAAGACTTTGTGGCTCTCATAATCTGCATAGGTATAAAGGGGATCATTTCTACCTAGGGATAGCCAAACCATGGGTTTCAACACATTTTGTATTAAATGTGTTTTCAAAGTCCACAGTGATTTTTCTAAACGCTTACAGATTCCATGAAATAACAGTCATTCTTTCAAGTGGAGTTAACCAGGATAATCTTTGTCCCTAAAGGCAAACCTTTAAAATAAATAGATCATTAAATCATCACTTGTGGAAATGAGTTTTAGGGAAGGGATTGAGTGTTGGAACATGACTTTCATCCAGATATCTAAAGACATAATAGAATGCATAATTAGCTCTGTGCCTCATGCATTTTGCCTTCTAAAATTACATAGATGATTAATGGGCAGACATAAAAGTGGGCTTTAAAGAAATCTAGTAATAATAAAAACTGAAAAAGAATAATTCACTGCTGATAATTCCGAACCTGCAAAGCAGCACAATAATGTGCACTGTAGGGGAGCCCTCCCCACTCTTCCCCCACACCTGTGCCACCCACCTTACCCCAAGTCAATCGTGCCCCCAGCTTCAATCTGCTGCATAACCAGGAGGTGCACTCCTAACCCTAAGCAACCGTCCTACAAGTCAGTCAGTGTTTATTGATCACACAGGAAGTAAACAGCCTTAGTTGGAAGTCCAGCACCAGGTTTATCTTTATACCAGACTTTAACTGATCGTGACCCTACCTTGCTGCCCCTGGATATTTTCCACATTACTTGGGACAAATGGAGAGCAACCTCTGCTCTCCATGATCAGTTATCACATTGGTTATAGCATCTCTTGGGTGGAGTAGAGGGAGGTCAGGAGAAGAAGCCCGCATAGATATATAAGTGTCTTCTCTCAGATTATAGATTAGAGCATTAAAGGTTTTGATTAAAATCTAATTATAAGATACTGCTGATCACAATTACCAAAATAGCATCACAGGAGATTCAATTAAAATTGTCATGGAAACAATATTTGAAATAGTTTAAAATGCAAGAACATTCAGGGATGTTAACAATTTAGAGATACTAATAAATGTTCTGCTAGATAGACTATTTGAACACTATAAATGTATTTTGGGGTTAACAATGCCAAGATACATTTTCATATTCTCATTGCAAAATACAGGCAAAACTAGCAATATTTTTTCTGCATTATATGAAATTTCACAGGTAAAACTAAATCTATGATATAGAAAATAATAGTACATTACACATAGTGAAAACTAAGCCACTTAGGTTTAGATAGATATATAACATGTAACATCTTCTCTGTTAACCAATTATAGATAAGTATACAGCATGTAATGTTTTCTTAGTTAAATCATTGGAAATGTTTAGGCATTTTACTGTGTGTGTAGGGGGGGTGAGTATGCACATGATGAGACTTGTATTCTAGCCTTACAATTAAAATTCACAGAATCATTTCCTAAAGATTTTATTATCCTTTCATAAGTATAAATATATGTACTTTTACATATGAATAGTTCTGCATTTAGAAGGTATCCTACACATCAAACATCCATTAAACATGTACTATACTATGCCAAAAGTTAGAGTTTACACTGTTGTGGTTCTGGAGTGATAGGAGGATGGATCACGGTATGGAAACGCAGAAGTGCGTGATGCAGAGATCCTTGCCTACAGGTTAAACAAAGCACCACTGTAGACACAGGACACATATACCAAACAACTAAGAAAAAAGACTTCGTTAGGTCTTTGTGTAATACACACAAAGATAAATGTAAAAATTATATAGTTGATTTATACGGTTTATGTGACAAAGAGAAAAACTCTCTTAATGGACTTATCCAAAGATGAAATGGACTGCCTCAGGAAACAGTGGGTTCCCAGTAATTCAAAGGTGACATCTGCATAGGCAGGAAAGAAGTTAAAAGCAAATCCCACGTGCCAATAACAACCAGATGGCTTGGAAGTAGCAGAGACTGTGCCGAAGAGCAGGAGAAAATAAGACTGCTAAAAGAGAAAGAGGCAGAGGAAGGGAGATATTAACTCTTAGGATAAAAAGTGTATATAACAGGCCATAGAAAGTTACCAACTGTTCTTAAGTAAAGGAAGAAAGTAATTATTGCAGTGTTTGAGGGAAATTATGCTATTGATTCTTTGTGGAATAGAACCAAAGAAAGCAAGGTTCCAAGGATTAACTTTCTTACTGCAGTAATAAGTTTGGTTAATGGCTACAAAAGTGAAAAGAAAGAGGAAAAAGGCATTGAAGGCCAAGAGTTATATTTGTTGACAAAGTCAACAAGTCAAAATATTTTATTTTGTCATGTTGGGGATTAAAGATGACAAAAGAAGTAAAAATATATTTCTGCTTCAATAATAATGACTAGGATGCCCAAGGGTTCAATTTTAACTTGGCATTTTATATAAGTGTTAAATTGGGACAAACGAGCTCCACTGGTTAAGTAAAATGTGGCTATGTTACAATTCAGGCTTCAAAGCTCACATCGTTGCTATAACTTAAAAAAAAAGGAACACTAGATTGTTCCTTGGAGTAAAATATTGGCCTACCATTATGAAAAATGCATAACACTAATCACAAATGGTTAAAAAAATCACTGCCAAATTTAATATCACAAATGAAAAGTCAATCCAAAACACATTTGATGTTAGCAATACCATTTTTGAATTTAAGAAAAAAAATTTTTAATCTACTTGGCATATTGTAATTGTTTTTTAAATAAGAAAATGGTTGTTTGGCCGGGCGCGGTGGCTCAAGCCTGTAATCCCAGCACTTTGGGAGGCCAAGGCGGGCGGATCACGAGGTCAGGAGATCTAGACCAGCCTGGCAAACACGGTGAAACCCCGTCTCTACTAAAAATACAAAAAAACTAGCCGCATGGTGCTGGCGCCTGTAGTCCCAGCTACTGGGGAGGCTGAGGCAGGAGAATGGCGTGAACCCGGGAGGCGGAGCTTGCAGTGAGCCGAGATCGCGCCACTGCACTCCAGCCTGGGCGACAGAGTGAAACTCTGTCTCAAGAGCAAAAGAAAATGATTGTTACAGTGTGTTCTACATATATTTAATCAAGCACATAGCCTGTAATACATCTATAGATAGATGTTTATTATGATAATGATACAGTTTTTGCTAATTTTATACATTGGTTTTTTAGAAGTCTCTTATACTGAATAAATTTACATTTTACATAGTCTATATTACTCATATTATTTTTAAAGATTTATTTTTTACATTAACTGTTTAGTAAACAAAATAGGTGTGGAATAAATTCTGTATTGTTTCTACTTCTATTACATAAAGGAACATGATGACTTTTACCTTCTATTACCCATCTGTTTTTACAACATTCAAGTTGTAACTATATATTCAGATACCATTTCAGGCATAAAACAGAATTGTCTGGCCCAAACAAAATCCCTCTTCTGTTAAACTAGGAGATCTATGGCTATGCTCTGACAGTAATAAAATGTTAAAATACTCTAAACTAAAAAACAAAACAAAACAAAACAAAAAAAACCTCTATTACTTCTGTGATTCTGAAAATATTTTATGAAAAAAAATCCCACTTCAATTGAATTTTTCTACTTTGATGCAGGTAGTCTGTTGCTAATTTCTTATTTTTATATGTAAGGAATTGCTGAAACTCTTGGTGGCTTTAAACCCTTATTTATTCTATCTAAAGCAAAATTTTTGTCTGTTACACAAATCTTCATGAAACTTTAATCCATATTATTAGTATCAGTTAGTTACTCTTCAGAATTAATCTTGGATGCTGAATTCTTTTAACGTCCAAACCTGTTCCACAAAGAATATTTGGAAGAACACCCTCATCAAACATTTCTAGTTCACTTTTTAAATCACATGGTTTTGAAAAGTAAAGATCTTATGGGGACCCACAATATAAACCTTATGTCTTGGAGTAGTGTCTCTTCAATGAAAGAGTCACAATATCACTAGAAATTACAGTTGTTAGGTATTACTTTTATCCTAAACCTCTTCTTCCAGGAGTATTAAGTCTTTAGATCTTCATTATCCTACCAGAAACATTGCAGGACTGACTGAAATGGGATCACCATTTAAAAATGTATGGGAACTTTGAGGTCCTCTTTTCAGGGAGAGGTAAAGGAGAACTGTCAAGACTTGGGAAAATACATCACCAGGATAGATATGGCCTTATGACTTCTCAGAATTTACTGAATCTGTATTGTGTTATGTCAACATTTAAAAAAGGATACCAAGGAGAGAGGATATCAAGTCTTCATTTGAACCATCCATCTCAAAAGAATTTAGAAATGAGTCCATCCACTCAAGTCATCCACGTGGCTTCTTAGATGGTACCAAAAATGTATCATCCAGAGAGAATTAGAGAAGTTTTGTATGATAATTAAAACCATTCTAAATTTTTTTGGCTGATAAGCTTTAGACCAAATACTCTATTCAATATGGAGGAAATCAAAAAGGAGAGAAAAGAAACAAGAGATTCAGACTCAAAGTTGGAGTCTATAAAAGAAATAACAGAGTTTACATGTATTTGAAATGACTGGATTTTATATCACTGTGGTTGAGAAAGGGAACAGCTCGCTGTGATAGAATTATGATCTGTGTCACCGAGGAGCAAAGAGTATTTGGGTCAAATATTTTCCCACGAATGTTAACAAACTTATGGCGTGGATGTCTGTAAACGGTTCTCTAAATGAGGAACGTTAATGAGCTCAGCAGACATTCATCCAATGACTCAAACAGTGACATTAAATGCTATTCCTGCTACACATAAAAACAAAAAGTTTTATATTTATGGAATTCCACACACTGAATCCTTAAGGCTTACTCCTTCTTTAACAAATGACATCGTATCCCTTGTTTGCCTCTGTAGCATCACTGATAAGTCTGTTTATCTGAGAGCTTCAACCCAACCTCTCAAACAGGAAATGAATGAAGGAGTATGGATAGAAGAAAAATGGAGAAAAAGAGTGTGGTGATAAAAATTTTGACATTTCTGAAATAAAATAAAAAATTAAATTTTTAAAACTTTCGTTTTCCCTATGTAATAAAAACTTTCCAAAACTACAAGATAGTTACAAGAGGCAAAATATATGAACAAAAAAGGAAAAGTTTGATAAAATTTTGGGCTTAAGGACTACAGTTAGTCTTCTCCCCTCCATGGAAATTA